TAAAGCCACCATCAATGAGTAACTTTTTTCATTTTCCTGCAGACTTAATTTTATGGTGATTTTAAGCTTAAAAGTTACTATTTAAATAGGCATTTCTGTTCCATTTTGACTGTGTGTGCTACAGTGAGTCAGGAATGGATAGTGGGGTTGCCCGAACTAGGGATTTTGTTTACATATGGACTTTTCCAGCTGTGTGAACCACATGATCTCTGTGAGCCTCAGCTTCTCAGAACAATAAAATAGGGTTGTTAATCTAATATTCAATATTGTAAGTAACAAGTAAAAATGTATACATACACACACACACACACACACACACACACACACACACCCCAACCAGTGCCTGGTATGTAATAGGTATATATTAAGTGACAGGTAATGTTTAATCAAATGTATTTTGTTTATTATATAATGTTTGGCAGAAGGGTAATGATTGGAACAATTTGCTGTAGCCAGTGAATATACTGAGAAGAAATGGAATTTAGGGTTTATGAAGCTGCACAAATATCTAATATTCCATAAATGAGTGCCATATCTGTAGTATGTCTGAGGAAACTGCATAAAAATTAAATTTAGTGCCTGAAGCAGTGCTGTCTCATAATTGGTTCCTTCTCTTCAGGAAACTGAGAAATGAATTCGTCAAAATAGGTATCTTTGAATTCATATTTAAGGCCCAAGGTGCTATTCTGCTTGCCTTCCTTTCCTTTAATTTATTAAACAAATATTTATGGCCAGGCATGATTGTAGCTCCAGAGAAATAAATGATGAACAATACCAAGATGGTTTACCCTCCTTTGTAGAAGTTTATATTCTACTTCCAAGTAAGCAAACTGGTTAATTTCAGCTAATGTACTTCCTGTGAATAATGAAACAACATGGTGAGAAACCAGGGTGAGAGAATTCCTTTATAATTCAGTGACCAGGGAGGATCTGTCTACAGGCTCCGAGGTGTAAGCAAACTCAGTATTCCCTCATCTTACTTAAAGGCACCATATTACAGAGTAATCCTCTTGCTTCACCAAAAGATATAATTCAGTGAAAGTTTTTATTGTTTGATATTATGTATTCTTATTTTTGATCAATTTTAAAAGGCTCGTTGGTACGTATGTGATCATAAAAGGAAGTCTTAGTATAGTCTACTTTTGGTGAAATGATAATGTGTGACAATTGGAAATATGATTAAATTGCAAAATTACATGCAATCTTTTAAGGAACACAGCTGTTGTAGAAAATGAGATATCTGTATTTGCTTTACAGCCAACACTGCCGTAATGTTTTTTGTAAAGCACATAATTGTAATGTAGCAGAATGCTTGTGTGGAAATTGGGATGTTGAATAGTCTTCTTGGAGCATCCTCAGGGTTTGTCAGGTTTCTACTTTCTCTCTCTGGTAGACTAAAACATCTCATGTGGCAGAAACAGTGCAAACCTTTAGACGTTCTAATGGGCCAATGGAATGGGCCTCCTTGATGGAAATCACACCATGATGTCTCAATATTTCCAAACAATACAAGAAAATCTGCTAATGACAATTCTGGTGTCTTTTTTGATGATGAAAATGCTTTAAAAAATTCTCAGGCCTGCTGCAGTGGCTCACGCCTGTAATCCCAGCATTTTGGGAGGCCAAGGTGGATGGATCTCCTGAGGTCAAGAGTACAAGACAAGTCTGGCCTACATGGTAAAACCCTGTCTCTCCTAAATATACAAAAATTAGCCCGGCGTGGTGGCATATGCCTGTAATCCCAGCTACCTGGGAGGCCGAGGTTGCAGGGAGCTGAGATCATGCCATTGCACTCCAGCTTGGTCAACTGAGTGAGACTCGGCATCCTGCACCCCCCCAAAATTCTCATACATTAGCAAGTGTATTTAGCAATAATAAGTTAGTGTTGTGACAGAAAGTGAATATTGATGTCTGTGCTTTTTTGAGCCTAATTTTTAGCTATAAATTGATATGAAGTTTTTCTTTATTCGCTGACTTTAAATTACTTCCCTTTGTTGTTAATGACATCTGGGTAGCAAAAGAAATGAAATGCCTGTGGTTTATTTTTCATCTACTAGACAACAGATTTTACTCATTTCGCGGAACTGAATAAAATTTCCACATAACCTGTTCATGCACACTTGTCACGTTAACAGGGGATCAGAAATTTATTATTATTGTTATTATTATTATTATTATTATTTTTTCTGAGATGGAGTTTCGCTCTTGTTGCCCAGGCTAGAGTGCAATAGCACAATCTTGGCTCACTGCAACCTCTGCCTCCCAGATTCAAGCAATTCTCCTGTCTCAGCCTCCCAACTAGCTGAGTACCACCATTTTGTATTTTTAGTAGAGATGGAGTTTCACCATGTTGGCCAGGCTGGTCTCGAACTACTGACCTCAAGTGATCTACCCTCTTCAGCCTCTCAGAGTGCTGGGATTACGGGGGTGAGCCACTGCAACCAGCTAGAAATTTTTAAATGACTAAAAGTTTACATGAATTATTCTAGCACAACTTGATGGATTTTGTGTTTGTTATTCAGTCACATTGTTGTATTGTCTCGAGAGGTTTCAAATGTTTGAGTGAGAGGTGCATCTTACCTCCTGTCATTCCCGTTGCTGATGCATCACTGACCTTTTACCGTCTGCATCTCCTTCTGGAACATTCACAGCAAGATAGATGCTAAAATTAAGACTCAGATAGCATTTTCTGATGAGTATTCTCCAAGGATATGTGTGTGTGTATGGCTAAGTAATAATACTTGTAGATCATTTTTAAAATGTAGATTGTGTTAAATAAGGAAAGTGTACTTACATCAATCTTGCCATCCATGTGTAGCCACTGTTAATACTCTGCTGTTTCCTTCCGATTGCTTTTCTATATAAATGTGTTTCGTTTTGTGGACACACATATGCCTGTTGCCTAGCACATAAAATGTGCTGTATAAACATGTGAATAAATGGATGTCTTAATATATGGACTAATTTGTATAATATATATGTATGTATGTTGTTATTTTATTTTTAATCAACAAGTAATAATTGTATATATTCATGGGGTACAATGTGATGTTTTGATATGTGTTTGTGGAACGATTACATAAGCTAATTAACATATCCATAACCTCACATATTTACATTTTTTGTCTTGAGAATATTTAAAATCAATTCTTTTTAGCAGTATTGAAGTATATAACATTATTAACTATAATCAACATGCTGTCCAACATATCGCTAAAGCTTACATCTGCTGTCTAACTAGAAGGTTGTATCCTTTGGGCAACACCTCCCCATTCCCAATTCCTTGCTCATCTAGCCTCTGGTAACCACCTTTCTAAGCACTGCTTCAATGAGTTTGACTTTTTTGATTGCATGACGATCAGATTGTTTAGTATTTATCTTTCTGTGCCTAACTTATTTCACTTAGCGTAAGTAAGGACACAAAACAGCAGATAAGATGTAAATAGTCACTGTTTGTGGCCTTAGTTTTTAACCTAACCCAGATAATTCTCAAAATATTCTATTAAATATGTAAAACATAAAAATATAGTTTTTGATAACCTCAGAATCATATAGGTATATATGGACAATAGTTTATTTAACCTCCTTCTCATATTAATACTACTTTGCATTTTTGCTTATTTTGTGATGTACATTTTTACCATCAACTTATTCCCGCTTTGACTAATTCGTTAGTGTGTAATCCTAGAGAAGGAATAACTGGGCAGTAGAATGTAAACCTAAGACAATATTAATCTTTTTTGTCAGAATTTTTAAATTCAAAAATGATAATTTTGTTGAATTACAGAGATTAGCTATTCATCTAGAAAATTTGGAAAACAAAGCACAAAGAAAATTGGGAAGGAAATATTTATAATTCTGGCACTAAGATGACTTACTTCATTTAAACGTTTTTGATTTATATTTTAAGTTCAGTTTTATTTAATCCATTACACATTTACCAAAAATGATCAATTCGTTTTCTTAACTGCTTCTTTTTCCTGCTTAGTGGTGTATCATTACGTAGTCCTTCTCTGCCTTTAGACAGTCGTCTACAATGCAATTTACTGCCTGGTTTTGAAAGGACATGTCCATGTAATGCATTTAATTACCTCCTCCTTTGTGGACCTTTACTTTGTTTCCAGTGTTTCATTTGACTTGGGATTTTAGGAAACAAAATTCTTGTGTTTCACCCCTTGGGCACATCTACTGTGATTGCAATAAGACAAATTCCCAGGAGAATTGCTGGTTCAACTTGTAGGAACGATTTTTTTTCCCCAAGACGGAGTCTCACTCCTTTGCCCAGGCTGGAGTGTAGTGGTATGATCTCAGTTCACTGCAACCTTCGCCTCTTGAGTTCAAGCATTTATCTTCCCTCAGCCTCCTGAGTAGCTGGGATTACAAGTGCCTGCCACCATGTCTGGCTAATTTTTAAATTTTTAGTAGAGAGGGGATTTCACCATATTGGCCAGGCTGGTCTCGACCTCCTGACCTCATGATCCATCCACCTCAGCCTCCCAAAGCCCTGGGATTGATTATAGGTGTGAGCCACCGAGCCCAGCCAGGAACAATTTTTAAGCTTTGATAATACTGCCACATTACCTTTCCACAGGTTGTGTCAATTGGCATTCACAGCAAAAGAAGTATGAAAGTGGAAGATAATAAAACATTTTAGATGATTCTCTGTAACCTTAACTAAATCACTTTCCAGAAAGCCCGTGCCTGTTCCTCCTCTTTGAGAGGAGCAAGATGGTGCCTAATTTGAGAGTTCACTAGGCATTGACTTGAGGGTTGGACATATTCACTAGCCTGGTCTGAAACAGGAAAAGCTGAACATGGAGTGGTTAGGTGATTTTACTAAATGTTCACAGGAAGTGAGAGAGAAGACTCTTCTTAATTGCTGGGTCTTTCAGTTACCAGTTTAACTAATCAGCCTGCTTCTTGAGTCTATTGTCAAGTAAGTTTCATTATTTTCCTGTCACTGATTGTTTTGAGAAAAGTCATTGTGTTTTCTCTTCCAGTCCCTTCAGCGGCTGCGCAGGGAGCATGGTCTTGGGAGTGGTACTTGAAAGAACAGAAGGCTGTCGCAGCACCTGTTGAGCTGTTTTCCAAGGTCAGCCACTGAAGGACTTATATTTTTGCAAGGAAGCAACATTTAAGAGATTTAGTTAAAATGAAATGACTTTCCTAGATAGCCCACCAACTTATTTGAATTATTTGTAGGCTGTGCTGGAAAATGACCCCATAAACTTAATCAGAGCCTTAGTGTTTCAGAGTGGGCTGGAGCCCGGTGCCGCCACATGCCAGCTCTGTAACCTGGGACAAGTCATTCAATTCAGTTTCCTCACCCATGAGGTGGGAAAAGTCCCCTACCTTTCTCCTTGGGTGGCTGGAGGACTGAAGCAGTTGTACCCATAAAGGATATAGGATGCAATGTGCACATTATACATGCTCAATAAGTATTAGGTTTTATTTTTATTAGCCTGTTTTACCTGCAGTTAGAAGGATCTGTTTAGATGAGTTGCTGAGAGTGGTGGGTTGAGCAAGATGTTAGAGAAGACAGTAAACCCTTGAGTCCTGGCATACGTGATAGAAAGATGAACGGAGCAGCCAGTGTAGACTTCCTTGACCATCTGCTAGCACCAGGGACTTACAGGGGATACTCTTTACCCAACACACCAAATCTTCCGATAGTCTTTCTGCTCTTCTTGGTGAGTTTTAGATGTTTTAGGGGAAATTCATATGAAAACTTTCATCAGATTTGCCTCATTACTTTACATTTTAACCTGTAGCAGGAAGCTACAACTTTTTATTTTCTTTACTTTTTACGACACCTGTTGAGTTACCTCTAGTATTTGTTAGCATGTGAAAGGGCCAGCATTTATAATCCTGGACATGCCAGCAGGACAGGAAGGAAGAGGTATAGCAAAGAGGAAAAGAAAGGGAAACCAAGTGCAGGCCCCTTGTGTTTAAGAAATGATGCGTGTCCTTTTGTCGTCTAGGTGGTATGCTTCACTAACAAACAGTATGAAGGCTGTACCGTAGAAAATGAAAACGTCTATGGCAGTGTTCTTAACCCATTCTTCATACCAGGTACTTTTGTGGAGCTTTGGAAAGCACAGCATGGGTCTTCCTGAGACCTTCTAAATGAGACCTTTAGGGGCTGGGCCTGGAACATGTGCAGCTTGAGAACCTCCTGCATTCTTTGTGCAGGTTTAGGGCCCATTACCATGGAAGATTTAGGAACTGCCTAGGAGTCAGGCTCCTGTTTCCCCATGTTGCTTTCACTTGATGAGTTAGGGGTTTGTTCCATCAAAAGGTGCAAGTTCATTATGGTAAGGGTTTTTCCTTCATGTGTCCCGGCAGTGCCTGCTGTGTTGAGTGTGCTCAGATGATCAGTCACTGCTGAATGACTTCTAGGGAATCTCTTCTCACTTCTGAGTGTAAAGATCTTTGAAGGTGGTTGGCTTGGACCGGGACAGTTTGGCGTAGCTCACAGTCACCTTGCCCTTTCCCGCCACCCCTCCCGGCCCTTGCCGCAGGGCCACTGCAGATTGGGAGGATGGAACAGAGTGGGCCAGAACAGGAGCTGCCTGAGACTTGTCAGGCACCGTGACACCCAAGGGCAGAGGTAGAGGGGTCAAGGTCCAGGATTTGAGCCAAAGAACATTGGTGAGGCTTGTGCCCTGATGGCTACTCTGGTTTAGAAGTCAGACCTGTGCTGTGTCCTCAGCTCAGTCCTAGGGCAAGGGTCCTCTCTTACACCCACGCAGGATTGAATCAGATATTTGGGTGTTAGGGGTGAAGTGTGGACTAATTTGCAGAGCAAGGAAAGTTTTGGCTGATGGTAGCCAATTCTCTGTCCAGCTCCTTTGTTGCCCCACATCTCAGCCAGTCGGTGCATTAACGTTATTCTCAGAGCTTCTCCTCTAAGAACCTTTAAGGCCCATCAGCCAGTGCAAGAACACCTGCAGGACTGAGAATTTCTTCTTTAGATTTTCCCTCATGACCTGGTGTTAACAAAAAAAAGATCAAGGGGGCAAATTTGGGATTTCTGTTTCTGAAATAAATCCTCATGATGGTATTGAGAACTGTGTAATCATAGGCTCTGGGTCATATAACTTTCTCCCTTGACTTTACAGAGATAGGAATATAGAGGCGCTGGAAGGCAGTCAGTGGGAGGAGCACACACTGTGGGGCATAAAGACAGGAGTGGGCCCCCTTGGGAGGGTGGAGAAAGCTGGAGAGACTCTGTTGAGGGAGGTGGGTGGTGAGCAGGTGATGCGCTCTTTGATGATTCTTTGGCTAAGAACACAACTTTGAAATTGGACTTTCTCAAGCTTTTGGACTCTAATATTTGTCACCTCTGAAAGTAACAGCAAAGCATTAGTGTATGAGAAAACAGACATGTTTGACATGTTGGACTACCTTTCTCTCCACTGATAATCTGACACTCAAGCCGTTCACCTGTTTAAGGCTCTGTGTGTGCAAAGTGCTGTGTAAGACTGGCCAAAACACTAAAGAATGTGTGACATGATGTCTTAGAATCTTGCTGGCTAGTTAGGATGTGATATGCTCATAATAACACAGAAACAATCTGAGGCAGAATGTCAATTGCTCGTGGAATGCACATGTAATGAATTTACTAGGCATTCCATATGTGAGATAAGACCTCATTTGACCCTGAATGAGGAGGAGAATTAAGCTCACCAATTATTATGTCTGATTTGCCTTAATGACTAAAGAGGACACTTGTGTTCAAGATCACAGTGTTACTCTAACTTGAATTTATATTTTCAGATGAAATAAGCATTGTCTGTAATTGAAAATAAGTTTTAATATAATCAAAAAGGCAGATGGTTCATGTCAGCTTTCCACGAAGGAGCATCAGACTAGACTCAATTTTATATTGACATTGTGCTTTTGACTATTAATCTTCATTTTCATTGTGTAAATATTATTATAATGTTGTTCAGGTCAGCCAGCTGAGATGGAACCCTTCAGCTTTTGACACTGAAATATTGAAAATAAAAGTTAATTCTATGCTTAGAAAACCCTAAAGACTCTGCCAAAAGGCTCCTGGGACTGATAAACGACTTCGGTAAAGTTTCAGAATACAAAATCAGTGTGCAAAAGTCATTAGCATTTCTATGCATCAATAATGTTCAAGCTGAGAGGAAGTCAAGAACACAATCCCAATTATGATAACCACACACACAGAAAAATACCTAGGAGTACATTTAACCAAAAAGGTGGAAGATCTTTTCAAGGAGAACTACAAGACATGGCTAGGACCTTGGGTGCTTCCACCCTAGTAACCGGTGCCCCCTTTTCAGTTCAGTCCATCTGCCTTTGTGACTGCACTGGCGTAAGTCACAGTTGAACCTCCTCTGCAGTGGTGAACTTTAACCTCACCGTCTGATCTTGTCCACTGTCTTTCCAGACTTTTCTCTCCCTTATTCTCACAGCATCAGTTTTTCTTTTAAGACTTGCAATTCCTTTGTTGTTGCCCTCCTGGCTTCATATTTTCCCTGGCCAGCTCAGCCCAGTTCCTTCATGTCAGCCATTCTCTTGCCAGGATCTTCAGTCCCTTGCTTCCCTGATGTCCTCTCCCCATCAATGCCCATTGCAATCCCAGCTCCTGACTGATGCACACTCACTGTCTAACTTCTCTACCTCAGGTGCCAAGCACTGCTGAGTAGGAACCATGAGGCCTTACAGATAGCTGGTGGCCCTGCAGAGGCACGGCCTAGCGTGCAGGCATTGTCTGGCAGTCCTTCTGTGTTGTTAGTCTGGGCTTTCCCTCCTGCGTAGGAAGGCAGGTCTATGCTCGCAGGCATCTTTTCTCCCACCCGAAGCCTTCATTCCCTTACTGCATGTGGTGAAATCTTCCACTGCCCCCTGCAGACCGTCACTTAGCATACCTGTTCCTGCCTCTTTCCTCTATGGTCCTGGAAGAGGTGTCCCTTCTCTCCAGTCTCCCGTGCCTGTGCTCTGCAACCTTTCCATTCCTGCCTTTCTAGAACTCTTACTCCATCGGTTATCTCACGGCCTGCCTGTAAGTTGATGTTTCTTCTCTTTTGAACATTTCCTTTTAGAATGTAAATACTCTTAAAGTCTGTTCCATTTTTATGAAAAAATAGTGCCCCTGGGTTCTGCATTTTCCTCCCTAATTCGTCTCCTTAGTCCAGTCTCTCTTCTAGACATTTTAGACTGCATATTCTTCTTTCTGGATTTTTCTAACCTTCTTTCCACCTCCAGCCTCTGCAACCTGACCTTTGGGTCAGTTCATCCAGCTCTTTAACTGCCATCCTACCAAGACACAACACAGCTCCTGCCCTGCTCCTGGGTCTTTCTCCTGTTGTTAGCAATTCCTCACCTGGAGGGCAGGCAGACCATAGCACATCAAGACCTTTCAGCCTTCCTTGGTGGAGCTAGCTCCTGGGGCTCCGTGTCCCTGTGAAGGGCCCTGTGCTCGGTTTCCCTGCAGTCAGCGTGCCCCACCCTCTCCTCTTCGCTGTGTGTGTGTTTGGCAATCTAATCTGCTCCAGTTTTGCCTCATAATTATCTATGGCTACTTTCACTCTGCTGCACTACTGCCTTCATTTACTGTGTGCCCTGGTTTTTTTCGACATGCATTTTTACAGCCGTTCCTTAAGTGATTTCTCTCTGTCCAGGCTGGCCCCACCCTTCACCATGCCTGCATGCCTTGTGGGAGGGATCTTCGTGAATTGTGGTTCCTCTGTATTTAACACGTCTGGCCGCTTTTTGTGCCATTCTTTGTGGTTCCACGTGGGTGTATTTTGTCTCTTGGTGGAATCGTGATCTCCTGGAAGCCTGAGTGGGTTTCTTGCTTTCTGTTTCAGTTCCTGTCTGCCCTCTGGTTCCTGGTAGAGGTTCCTGTTGCTTGCTGGTGCTTTTACCTGCACTGCCTCAGTAAGCCCTCCACTGCCTCTCCTCACTGTGTGGAGGCACCTCCCTGACTTTTAGTTGATTTAACTGAAAACAGCAGATAAATATCACCCGCTTCTCAGTGGTTTTCCTCAAGAGTTCCATATAGTGTGTATCAAGTGTCCAGCCTACTAGTGTCTGGCACGTAGATGACTTTCTTAA